AACATGCCCAGCTCCTTAAGCCGCTCCTCATAGGGCTTGTTTTCCAGACCCTTGATCATTTTAGTTGCCCTCATTTGGACTCATTCCAGCTTGTCAATATCTCTCTTGAATTGTGGTGCCCAGAATTGGACACAATATTCCAGGTGTGGTCTAACCAAAGCAGAATAGAGGGGTAGCATTACTTCCTTAGATCTAGACACTATGCTCCTATTGATGCAGGCCAAAATCCCATTGGCTTTTTTTGCCGCCACATCACATTCCTGGCTCATGTTTAACTTGTTGTCCACGAGGACTCCGAGATCTTTTTCACACTTACTGCTCTCGAGCCAGGTGTCCCCCACTCTGCTAACAGATAGGTTAAAGCACATGTTTTGTTGTGAAAGGACTCTGTTGTGTTTTGCTTGCATCTGGGACATTTGCTATCCACCTTGCAGCAGTTTGGAGAGGTCGTGATTTGGAAACTATAAATCACTTCACATACCAGCATCCTGTGACAGTGCCGACTCAAATATTCCAGTTCAGTACCAGATTCTGAACTCACATTATATGGCAGTGTAGAAGGGGCTTTAGTTATCCCCCACAAGGGTCAACCGATTCAATACCTGGAGTTTGCCAATGTGTGTAGAATTATCATTCACTTTGCTTTACTTTGATTGGAAGCAACCAGCTGGATACTGTGGCCTCTTGAGACCATTGTCATGGTGGCACATAATATCCTGAAAGTTTGGCTACACTGTGCCTGAGTAGCACTCTTGTTTAAATATTCGCATATTAGAAATATTAATAACGCATTCCAGTCTCAGTTAATCCACGGAGGTCCTCTATGTAAATGGCAAGGCTTCCACAAGAGCAGCGTTTTGAATCTCCTGAGCGCATGGAACCAGAATTTGTCAATTCCGAAATGTTTCTTTGAATGCCTGGCATTGGCCGCCTCTCTGTGCTTGGAAGATGGAAAGTGTGTGCACATACACAAGCACACACAGCACACGCATTGACTTTATATTGACAAATATATGCGGTTGAAAGAGGTCGAAGTACTGAAGTGCTTCCTCTTCAATGCAAAACCGGCATCCGTCCACGAGGCAATGAGGAATAGAACAGACGGCGTTAGGAAGTCGGCGATATGCCTCTGATCTGGAATTGCAATGCACAAAAAGGGGACTGAACGTGTGAGGAATGGCTTCAGTATTTGCAGAAAAAGGAAAGAAAGGTAAGTTTTGCTCTGGTTCTGCAGACATCAAATGCCGCCATCACTTCCCGTTGCCTAGGGGTGTGCACGATTCCATTTTTGTGTATCACAGTAGTTCTCAACCTTCCTAATGCCGCGACCCCTTCATACAAGTCCTCACATTGTGGTGACCCCCAACCATAACGTAAATAGATCTTGGCATTTTGGAGTTGTAGTTGCTGGGATTTATAGGTCACCTAAAATCAAAGAGCCTTCTGAACTCCACCAATGATAGAATTGGTCCAAACTTCCCACACAGAACCCCCATGGCCAAGAGAAATACTGGGAGAGTCAGGTGGATACTGACCTTGAGTTTTTGGAGTTGTAGTTCACCTAAATCCAGAGAACACTGGGGGGAGCCAGAAATGACACTGAAAATGGCACGGGGTTTTGTCAAGTTGCACACCTCTATTGCCTGGCTCTGATCCCATTGGTTACTTTCCCCTGATGGCGTTGCCTCCACGGAGGTACCGGTTTCATCTCCTGGCGCTTTCGAGGCGTTGCCCGAGTAATATCACATCTGCTCTTTCCCACCTCGAATGCCGTTCTCTCTCTCGAGCACTCAGCCATCTTAACCCTGGGCCTCCCGCTCTTGACATCCGGCCCCGAATCCTGTTCCATCCCCAATTAAGCACAAGGAGGACGCGGGAAATGGCAGATAAGTGGCCCGATTGGCAACGTGCACGATAAGCTGCAAATAAACATAATTCTTTGATCACGGCTCTCCTGGATGAGGGCTTGTTTCAAGGCAAGGGAGGTGACCTAAAAACAGACAAGATTGAAGAGCTACAACTTAGAAGATAACAACCCAAGAACGCACCTTATAAATATTCATTGTGGACAGAGTCTCTGAACAGCCTTTCTTTTCGCTCCTATTAATAGTGGGAAGAAGAGGGGGTCAGGATAATGGCGGCTCATTTGCGGGCTCCGGTTTAATAATGTCGCCGTCACTGCAAGTCCGTTTGTGGCAAGGGATGCTTGCAATGCACACCTATTTCGACAAACCCCTAGATTGCTAGCTGTTTGTAGGAACCCATGAGGATATTGGTGGTGGCCTCATAACTCCAGGTGTTCTTGGAGGAAACTGATTGTCTGGATCTGGTGAAGTCTGGCTTTAGGGCGGGCCATGGAACTGAAATAGCCTTGGTCACCTTAGTAGATGATCTAGGCAGGGAACTGGAAAGGGAGTGTGTCCCTGTGGTTCTCTTAGACCAGTGTTTCTCAACCTAGGGCTCAGGACCCCTGGAGGGGTCACGAGGGGGTGACAGAGGGGTCGCCAAAGACTATCAGAAAACACAGTCTTTTCTGTTGGTCATGGAGGTTCTGTGTGGGAAGTTTGGCCCAATTCCATCGTTGGCAGAGTTCAGAATGCTATTTGATTGTAGGTGAACTATAAATCCCAGCAACTACAACTCCCAATTGTCATGGTCTATTTTCCCCAAACTCCATCAGTGTTCACATTTGGGCATATTGAGTATTCGTGCCAAGTTTGGTCCAGATCCATCACTGTTTGAGTCCACAGTGCTCTCTGGATGTAGATGAACTACAACTCCAGAATTCAAGGTCAATGCCCACCAAACCCTTCCAGTACTTTCTGTTGGTCATGGGGGTTCTGTGTGCCAAGCTTGGTTCAATGCCATTGTTGGTGGAGTTCAGAATGCTCTTTGGTTGTAGGTGAACTATAAATCCCAGCAACTACAACTCCCAAATGACAAAATCAATACCCTCCCCCAATCCCACCAGTATTCAAATTTGGGTGTATTGGGTATTTGTGCCAAATTTGGTCCAGCGAATGAAAATACATCCTGCATATCAGATATTTACATTACTATTCATAACAGCAGCAACATGACAGTTATGAAGTAGCAAAGAAATTAATTTTATGGTTGAGGGTCACCATAACATGAGGAAGTGTATTAAGGGGTCATGGCATTAGGAAGGTTGAGAACCACTGTCTTAGACCTTTTAGTGGCTTTCAATACTGTGGACTACAGTATCCTTCTGAGACGCCTCGTGGGAATGTGGCATGGAGGTACTGTTTTTCAGTGGCTCCAGTCCTTCCTGGAGGGTCACTCTCAGAAGGNGGACATCTAGTCCAACCCAATACTATAAAGTTCCCAAAAAGAGATGAGAATACAAAGCAATGGGTGCAAAGGCTAAGAAAGGAGATTGTTTCAATTGCTTGTGAATAATAATGATAATAATAACAACAACAATAATGAACCAGATGAAGCAGAACCCTGACATCTGAGCATCAGTGGGGCAGCCAAAGGCCATCTAATCCAACCCAATGGCATAAAGGTTCTTGGAAAGAGGTGAGAATATAAACCAATAGGTGCAAAGGAGACCTTGCCTGAAAACAACAACAATAACAACAACAACAACAACAACAACATGACCCAGGTAATGCCAAATCCCACAATCAGACAGTCAGAGGGCACCCAAAGGCCATCTAGTCCAACCCAATGTCATAAAGTTCCCTGAAAAGGACGTGAATACAAACAAATGAGTACAAAGGAGACCTTGCCTGAAAATAATCATAACTATAACAATAATAATAATAGGAACCAGATGAAGCAGGATCCTGAAATCTGAGTGTTAGGGGGCAGCCAAAGGCTATCTAGATCAACCCAATGTCATAACGTTCCCTGAAAGAGATGTGAATACAAACCAATGGGTTCAAAGGAGACCTTGTCCAATAATAATAATAATAATAATAATAATAATAATAATAATAGGAACCAGATGAAGCAGAATCCCGAAATCAGAGGGTCGGGGGGTACTCAAAGGCCATCTAGTCCAACCTAATGACATAAAGTTCCTCAAAAGAGATGTGAATACAAACCAATTGGTG